TGCCCAGAGTTGAATAATGATTTGAAGATTCCTGCAGCGGCTGGGTGACCCCAATGGCAGCGTGGAGTGAGCAGAATACAGGCAAAAGAAGCAGAGACTCCACAGCAGAGAGGCAGGGCAGTGTGGGATGGCGTTCCAGGCCATACGGCACGCACAAGCAGCTGAACGTCCCATCTCCACTTGCTCCTGCTCTGAATTTCAACTCTAAACCACACTACCCCTGCTCTGCCCACACATCTGTCTCATTTGTTTCTCCCTCTCTTCCAGCCTGCATCTCAGATTACTGCCGTGCCCTGAGTTACCTCTGTTACTGAGGGTTTGTATCCTTTCCAAATCAAAATGGCTGTGGTGACCCCGGGAACTGAAGTGCCTGTCTGACATCTGTGTATGCACCTCCCTCCGCCCATGCAAACCAATGAAAATCACCAGATAGACACTACAGAGTTAAGGCTGTGAAAGTGAGTTAACGCCACGTGAGCGCACAGGAGTTCACCTTGTAAACCTGGCTCTTTAAAGGACACAGGAAGGCTGGTACGCCCCATCGCTGGGCAGGCTCCATGACCAGAAGTGATCTCCTCACTCTCATACCTGTGTGGTCCCAGCAATAGGTCAATTAAATGGCAAAGCCCCAGAAACCATTTAGTCCAGACCTTTGCCCTCAGGTAGGATTTAGCTAGTCTAATCTGAACAAATGGGTATATATAACTTATTAAAACCTGCCAGATGGCCCTCCCTGGTGGCGCAGTGGGTTAGAGCACAGCACTAAGAAGCTAAAGCCACTTCCGCATGAGTTTGATCCCCGGCTGCCCCAGAGGTGACCCACATGGCTCGGCAGACCTCTCCTGACCCACCCACTGCTCCCCTCAGCAATGTGCGTCCTCGATATACCTGTTCTGCTCCCCACTCTGTCTCTAGTGAATTCTCTACCCTCCGCATCTCTGGCCTGTACCCCGGTTCTGTACAAATAAATAAATATTAAACAAACAAAAAAACCCTGTCAGAATGGAGAGTCTTTAACTTCCAGATAATAGCCTGCTGGCAGGGCTGCTTTTCAGCCAATACACACTGGTACAGCTGGACCAACTACGAAAACAGGGAAACACTTATGGAGGTGTAACTACACAGTGACTGTTCCATGCCCTCTGAATGCCCAACTAACCACCCTGACCTGTCCCAGGAGAACCCCATGACCCAGCAGTTAACAGGCTAATGCCAGCCACAGTGTGAGACCTTCCTTTTAGTTCCCTGTTCCAGCACCACCTCTTTGGTACGTAAGTATTGTTCAACAATTTTACTAATATCCTCACCTGTTCCACTCTACATACTACCATATTCTAAAGCTTCCAACTGCTTTCCCTTACTGTGATTTAATTATTTTCATAATACACAGCCATCTGATATTCTCCTTCACACCCTCTGCTCCACCAAACCCAGATGTCCAACATTCCTGATTCGTGGCCTTTTTAAACTGATCTTTCTGCCTGGAACAGCCTTCTCTTTCTGTAGCCATACAAATCTGAGTCCTGGAGATCAACTGCAATGTCACCACTTTCATGAAATGCTAGTTGAAAAAGCTACGCCCCATCTACAAGAGTTACAGTATTATTTATGTTCTAAGGGCCTCCCTGGTAGTGCGGGGTTTAGTCTCACTTCTATCAAGCTATCACAGCCACTGCAGCATGAGTTTGATCCCCGGCCAGGGAGCTGTCCCACATGGCGCGGCAGACCTCTCCTGTCTCGCCTGCTGCTCCCCTCAGCAGTGTATCGCAGATCTGCCTATTCTGCTCCCCACTCTGTCTCTGGAGACTCCTCTCACCCCCTACACCTCTGGCCTATACCCCAGTTCTTGTTGCATAAATTAATAAAATAAACCTTTGCCAAATATTTAGGTTCTATATTTGTAAAACTTAATGTCTTTTCTATATTATGATCTTTTATATATATGCAACTGAATGCCTCTCCACCTAGAGAGAAAGCTGAGGGCAGAAACCATAAAATCTAGTCATCATCACATCTAAGTAACCATGCCTCGCTCAAGGTGTATGCTAAATAGATATTTGTATAAAAAAAGCAAGTGAACAGCTCTAATTCTTTTGTCCAGAGGAAACATTTTCTATCTGTTAATGATTTGGGTTGCTTTTCTCTGAAGTTATTCCAATTGTGGTTGTCTTTTTCTACATATGGAGCCCAAATTGCACATCATCCATATCTTAAACTACTAGTTTCTTTCATGACAATGAAGCAGAAAGCGTGATCCCCTGTCATTACCCTGGAGGTTGTGACTGCCACCCTGGAGGTTGTGACTGCCATCTCTCCATATGCTTCCAGTGCCAGGTCAACGTCCCAGTCACACAGGGACTAGCAAATAAAAGGTTCTTGGTAATGGAGGCTGGCCTTGCAGATGATAGGAAAGCTGAATGGGCGGGGATGGCTAGAGAGAGAGGAGGCAGGGTAGGCTGTAGGGAAGCAGAGCCAAGATGAGGCCCTTGCTGTGGTCAAAGCCACGAGTACAGTGATAGAAGAGGACATTTTACTCCCCTCTGGTGTGCTAGGGTGTAGAGGAAATGCTAGCTAACTCCCTTCCTACCTTTCTACTTTCCAATCCTTCCTTCCCGGTGCTCCCTTCCAGGTAACAGCCCTGGCTGGGAGTAAGACCTCCAAGACAATACGAGAGAACTTTGGTACAAGATGTCTGGGCTTCTCAAAAACAAAGATGACATGCCAGCAGCCAGAAGCCACAGTCCCCTGTCTCAATTTCATTCCAGAAGGGAATTAAGAGTAGGGTAAGAGGGACAGCCCAGGGTGGAAAGTCACCCTGCAGGGCACTCCGGTCATGTGGTTCTAAGAGGACACACATCATCCATCAGTGCCCAGAATGCTTGTTAAAGACTTGAATTCTTGTTAAAAATGAAGCTAGGGAAACAACAGGCTAATTCTGGAATAGCAAACTGGGAACATTTTTCTGGAGAAGGGTCAGTTTGGAAAAGGAAACAAAGAATAAGGAAACCCAGTCCGAGAGTTAAGATTCATCCAGGAGGGAAACCAAAGGGGCCCAGAACTGATGGTTAAGGATGAGACAGTCAATAGGAAACAGGGGCTGGGAACTAGGGCATGAGATAATGATTATGGCAAACTGGTTGTGGGTCTCTGAGAGAAAGCATGCTTGAGGTAAAATGTTGGGGGTCGGTTGGAGTGGAGAAAAGAGGTCACTGATTTCAGAGAAACAAAGCAACTGCTTTCTTCTGTTACTAATTTGTATAGAGGATATCAGTGCTACCACATTCATGGTGATAACACTGAAGGCCCCATCCAGGACCTTCCTCTCATATAGACTACAACAGTCTCACCCAACTGGCTCTATGAGAGGCCATGTATAAAAATGTAAGTTCATTCTGTCTTTCTGAGGGAAGAACAAAGCTCAGAGGAGGCAAGACCTAGGTACAGAAAGGTCGATTGCAGTCATCAGAGGCAAGAATCTTCCTATTTGAGTCAGCACGATGCCTAACTGAGGTTATGTAATTGCCTGTTCATTTTAGTTTTGTGGAATCATTTTTTCCTTTTATTTGCAAATTCTTTTCTGAATTCTGTCATCTTATATGTGTTGGAAAAGGAAACAAAGAATAAGAGTGAAAGAGCGACCTTGGAGATGTTTTAGTCCAACCTCTTCATTCTACCTGAGAAGCTGCCACTTTCGGTTTGATTTCCTGACCAGTCAGCGGCAGAACCAGGACTGGAACCCCAGTCTCTCAGCTCACAGCCAGAATTATTTCAAGAATGAGAGGCTCAACCTGAATACACATCTCTACCCTCAACCAGCTCAATTAGTGGCCCTAGTAATTCCCTCTCTTTGGCCACAGGAGGAAGCAAAGCACCACGCCCAACTCTGGGTACAGCAGTGACAGAGGGCAGGGACAGCAGTTGACAGAGGACAGGGCACAGCGTCTTCTCACCAGCAACTCCACCTGCCATTCCTCCTGAGCTCCTGAAAGGAAAACTGGACGTCTAGAGAGACAACAAGCCAGAACAATGAAACTCCGCCCATCAGGTTTGGGAAGGACACCAGCTCTGAGAACCTTACCACACAGCCCTTTTAAAACCCCTGACACTTGCAGGGCTCCACTGGTTAGCTGCAGAGTAAGCTAACTGCATGCCACCTCAGAGAGCCATGCCTACTGGAGCAAACACAGAGACCATTCCCTCCCATTTTCCTAGGAGAAAAGTGAGGGACAGAAAAATAAAGTGTCTTTGGCTAAGCTATAAAAGACAGTAGGATCTTTCTACAAACTGCCTGGGCCACTGTCTCCTTCAGCAGGGGCTGGAAGTTTAGTGGATTCCGCAAGGTTTCCAAGGAGGGCTTCAGAGAACTTTGCCGGAGAGGTGTCCAAGCTCCGAGAGCGGACGGCCCAGCGAGGAGGTGGAAGACTTGGAGGAAGTGGAGGGGGCTGGGAGGGGAGTGGCGTGAGGGGAGGCGGAGGGTCGGAGAGGTGGCGTCCAGAGGTATTGTTAAAATTAAGAATCCCGAGGAAAGACGGCGAGCCTGGAGGAGGCTGTGAGCAAAGTTTGAGGGACGTTGACGGGGCGCGCGGCCTCGGGGGAGACCACGAAGGGCATCTCCGACGCAAATCGCAAGCCAGCTGCAAGCACGGCGCGTTTCTCCTTATGGGGAGCTGCAAGCCCCGCGGGGCAGGAGACGCTCGTGGAGAGGGCGGGGAGCCGCTCCCCCAGTCGCCTCGGAGGAACCAGCAGCATCCCGAGGATGCCCAGGACCCACAGGACCCAGCGGGCAGGCCCGGTGTTGGAACCCGGCGCTTGCCCCCCGTAACTCCCCGCACCCCCCTTCTCTCCCCGAGCAAGCAGTGGGGCGGCGCCAGGCACCTGGAGAGGAAAACGAGTTGGAAATCGGGTCTGAGGAAGAGAGGCGGGTCCCCCAACGCCCGAGCCGCGGCTGCTGCCTCCTCCCCCGTCCGCACACTCCCCCGCCCACCCCCCGCGCTACTTACTCCGGTTCAGGGGGTTCCCGCCGACCTGGGCCGAAGCCACCAGTTCCAGATAAAGAGTCCAGAGCCCCAAGAACACCAGGGCGAGCAAGAGCAGCAGCCGGAAGCGCCTCCGCAGCAGCTTGACCGGGCGCAGGAGCAGCAGGAGCAGCGCGGCCCGGGGGCTCCCCATGGCGTTGCGCCCGGGCGGCCGCCGCCAGCGCGGGCTGCTCCCCACCCAGTCCCTGCCCCCCTGCCGGGCCCAGCGCCCCGGGCGCACGGAGTCCCAGCCCCAGCCCAGCTTTCAGGGCTGCGCCAAGACCGTTTCCCCCAAACGTTCTCCAGCGGGGCGCCGGCTCATGCCCCGCGCAAGGGATCCCCCACACAGCACCGGCTCCTCGCGCCGACTCTCAGGTCTCTCTTCAGGAGCAAAGCCCGGCTCCTCCTTCCGCAAGTGTCCTGCGCGCTCCGCTCTCCTCTCCACGCCTCTCCGCGCCGCAGGATCGCAGCTTCGCGGCCTCCCTCCGCCTCGCTCGCCACTACACGCTGCCCGCAAGCAGGCTTCCCTAGGTGCGCGCCCGCCCACCTCGCCTCTCGCCAGCTCCAGCTGCGGCTCTTTCTACCCTCTCCGGGCGGGACCGCAGCCCCACCTGTCCCGCCCCCGGCTAGGCCCCGCCCCCCGGACACAGGTGGGCTCCGCCCCTTAGAAGCTCTGGAAGAGCCGAAAGCTCCTCTCCTCCCTTGGGGCTGCTCAGGTACTGACTGACCTTGCTGCTCCCAAGTAACAGAGATAAAAGCTGGTAGACTGGCACACGGCAGAAGTGCGAGGAGGGTTGGGGGGGGGGGTCGCTCCTTAGTAGGGGTGAGGTGGGAGGGTGGGAGTCCATTGGGGTGATGCCGGAGACTTTGGCTTCAGGGCCTACTCCCTGCCTTAGGTAACAAGAGTAGACCTAATATTAGGAGGCCACTTACTTCATACACAATTTCCTCTTCTAATTTGGATTTGAAGACCCTTGCTTCGTGGCCTTAATCTCATCTCCACAAGGCACTGAGGAAGTTATGGATCCTCCACGGTGAACCCCAAGTTGTTTTTCCCAAGCAAGGATAGAATAGCTTTGGGAAGAATAGATGTTAGAGGGTTCCGAAGAAGAAGTAAACATCTTTTTTGAAAGGAAAGGCAGTCTCTCCTGGAGTTGTACAGAGCAAGCTATTCTGTATTTCCATTCTCTGCTTTCAGGCAAGTAATTATCTGCCTTTATTATTATTAAATTAGACAACATTATTATCTAATTTAAATGAGATAATTGAGGTATACAGGAACAGAGTGAGTTACCTGGGTAATCCAGCGGGTTATACTGCAGTTTTCTTTTACACCTTACTTTTCTTTTAAGATTTGTTTATTTATACATACAGAACTGGGGTACAGGCCAGAGGTGCAGGGGCCATGAGAGGATTTACCAGAGCAGTGAGCAGTCTGCCTGTGCCACTTAGATCACCTCCTGGGGGAAGGGATCGAACTCGCACTGAAGTGGCTGTGGCTAGCTTGCAGTGCTGCATCCTAACCCTTGTGCCACCAGAGAGGACCATTCTTTTCCATTTTCTCCTGGAGTGTATTAGCAAAGGGACTATGAAAAAAGTGAAGGACCGGGCCCTCCCTGGCAGCGGTTAAAGTTCAGCACTGTGAAGCTAGCCACAACCACTGCAGCTCAAGTTCAATCCCCCGCGAGGGAGCTGACCCACACGGTGCAGCAAACCTCTCCTCTCTTCCTGCTTACTCCCCTCAGCAGTGTATTTCAGTCAATCCACCTGTTCTGTTCCTCCCTCTGTCTCTGGTGAATCCTCTCACCACCCCCTCCCACACCTCTGGCCTGTACCCCAGTTCTTATATGCATGAATAAATGAATCTTTAACAAGGAAAAAAATGAAGGACTATGAAAATAGCATTTTGAGACTTTTAAAATCAAAGACTAATATGCAAATACTGTTCCAAAACAGAAGTTCCCAGAACTCACTGCTACCTTTACTCTTCTCTCTGCTACCACTTTGTTAAATGCTCAAGGGTCTCTCCTGGACTATTGTAACTTTCCTACCTGGCCCCTTAATGTGCTCCCACCACAGCCCTGCCATCCTCTCTGTTGAAGTCAGATGGTCCACACACCAGGTCAAAAACATTTAATAGCCTCCCAGAGTTCATTGTTCAAATGCAAACTAAATCCAGAGTTCCAGGCCTTCCAAACCTTTCCCAGCTTTGAGGGCATGAAACTGCTACAGTTAGGGATGCGTTTGCACACTGCTCTCCCACATGCTTCCTCTTCTGGTTGGTCAGATTTGAACCTTTCTTCAAAGGCCACTTCAGGCTCTAGGAAGCTTTCTTGGATGAGTCCCATTCTGAGCAAAGACCTCCTGACCCAGATATTCTGCCCCACCCACAGGCTTTCTTTTTGTCTCCCCAACTTCACGGAGAGCGTCAAAGGGGGGAATTTTGCATCTTCAGTATGTAGCACAATATGCATTTAGTGCTCAGCAATGTTCCACAATGAAGGGGGCATTTGGAAGGAATGTTCCCCAGAAATTCCAGTGTTGTTCTTATCGAGGTGACTCTGAAGGACAATCCTCTATTAATAGCTTCAGGGCAATGTGTCTGTGGTATTCCAAAGCACAAATGTGTGTATGTATGTTCTTCTTTCCAGAAGCAGGACAGGAGAAATCATGAATAGCTTGGCTTTGGTAAAGCCTCTTTCATGGGTCACCAACATAGATGAGTTGCTTTTGGGATTTCCTCTTGGAAACAAATGGCAGCCCTACCACAACTCTCTCCTCAAGACCAGCGCTCCTGAGAGAACTTACACAATCACTTTAATCAAACAACACATGAAGCATTTATTACTTGTGAAGTGGGAGAGTCATAAATAAGGGAGCATGCCATTGGGGAGAAAAGATATCCCATAGAAAAAGGAATCTGATGTGAGTTCCTGGTCCAAATAATGACTTCTACAGAAACTGAGAAAGAGAAAGAGATCACTCTGTACCTCTTCATTCTGTGCCCTTGGCCCTGTTCATTCTACTTTGATCATTTACCTTGAACATATCATCACTGTCCGTGTTCGTGGTGAGAGGTTGGCGGGCAGAGTGGTGGGATGAGGTAAGAAGGCAGGAACCCCTTTGCCCCCCTCTCCCCCCCCTCCTCCTCCCCTCTTCTTTTTCCTACTGCCCTTGTCTCCTCAGCTCTGAGAAATCCTCATATACAGATCCTGCTTTCAGACAGCTCCAAGTCCCTTTTTTTTAATTATTATTTTTATTTTAAAAAATTTAATTTGTGCATACAGAACTGGGGTACAGGCCAGAGGCTCAGGGGCGGTGAGAGGCTTCACCAGAGACAGAGCGGGGAGCAGAACAGGCAGATTGATGAAGTACACTGCTGAGGGGAGCAGCGGGCCGGTCAGGAGAGGTCTGACACACCATGTGGTCACCTCTGGGGCAGGCGGGGATCGAACTCATGGGGAAGTGGCTTTAGCTTCTTAGTGCTGTGCTTTACCCCGCTGCACCACCAGAGAGGGCCTCCAAGTCCCTTTTGACTCAAATAATGTAAACTGGCTTTTTTAAAGATTTATTTAGTTATACATACAAGAACTAGGGTACAAGCCACGGGAGTGGAATGGGGGGGGTTGTGTGAGAGGATTCACCAGAGACAGAGTGGGGAGCAGAACAGGCAGATGGACTGAAGTGCACTGCTGAGGGGAGCCGAGAGTCTGCCACACACCAGGGATCGAACTCATGCCTCAGTGGCTGTGGACAGCTTCATAGTGCTGAGATTTAACCCGTGTGCTACCCGGGAGGGCCCAATGTAAACTATTGGAATAATAAAGTGCTCATACTATTTAAAAAGCTATAATAAGTAACTTGGGTCCAATATAAAATGTGAAAGCACGAGCCCACTTTGAGAAGTAAATCAGACAGCACCCAAATGGATTGACAGACCCCGTGGTAAGGGCAGCACCCCAGGGGATGCCCTCGGCAGACTTCTCAGAACCTTTTCTGAACAAGGAGACACGCTGACCCTGGCCAGAGAGACTCCAAAGGAAGGATAAAAACAGAGCTGGACATTTAGCAAACTGTAGATGCCCTATTCCATTGTACCCACAATCACCTCCTTCTCTAAACTGATCGTCTGTGTTCTGTTATGCCCATGCAGATCCTTCCTCTCCTCCTACTTCAGAAGCTTCTCTGCTGTTCAAATGGATTGACGAGACCATGGTCATGGAAATTCTAAAGATAAATCAGTGAGGCTCTTTGGACATCATCGAATCACTATCTTAGCTTGAGACATGAGAGAACTGAGCACCTTTCAGAGATTTCCTAGAAGAGAAAGAACCGTGCAGGAGCTATCCCGAGTGCCCAGATCATGCTAAATGCTTGGCAAGCATTCATTTGCTTTATCTCTTTCAATTCATGTCAATCATTCATACCTGAAGTTGGAGGTTTCACAGATTCCATTTTAAGATAAAAAATGGGCTCAGTGATGTTAAACAATTTGCTCAAGATCAAGTGGGTGACTAGTAGCTTAGCTGGAACTCATCCTTTGTAATTTCAGAGTCACTGATTTTTGTGTGTTTCTTTCCCTTGCACATGTTGCTCCCCTGGAAGTTTCCCTAGAGGAATATCTATCCACCGTGGAAACTCTGAGCTCACTCTCAGCTATAACATCTATAACTCACCCAGCCACAGGATAATTCTCATCCTCCCCATCCTCACCCTCCTCTGCTCTCAGCTGAAGGGATCTTCTTTACCTGTCCCTTCCCCATGAATCCATCTTTTACCAATCTTTCTGTAGAGTTTGCTACTATGGAGGCCAATTCTGGGAGAAAGGAAACCCTCATTGAATGTTTCTTTTGAATTTTAAGGCAATTGACCCTTTCTATCTAGCTGCATTTTTTTTTGTCTTTTTTTAAGATTTATTTTTAGTTATGCATACAAGAGCTGGGGTACAGGCCATAGGCGCAGGGGGTGATAGGACTCACCAGAGACAGAGTGGGGAGCAGAACAGGTGGATCTACTGAAATCCACTGCTGAGGGGATCAGTGGGCCAGACAGGAGAGGTCTGCTGTGCCGTGTGGGTCAGCTCCCTGGCTGGGGATTGAACTCATGCTGCAGTGGCTGTGATAGCTTGATATCAATGAGTCTTAACCCATATTG